AGCTTTAGACATGGTTTCGATTTCACATACCATGACCCGTCTAAGGCTTTTGGTTCTGTGACAGCTTTTGGAGTTGCGCATGGAATGAACGTGACTTGACTTGCCTGAGAAAGGCGTGCCGTGCTCTTCCTTTGCTTCCGAGAAGTCATGCGTGGAAAAAGACCGTATGACATTAACTTGCAGTAATGCTCTGCCTACCTTTGGGAAGACTTTATTACTGGGTTGGTTTAGACCAGACTTTAAGCTTGTGGAATTGCCTTTTTTTAAATATACTAGATCCATCAGCAGGAATCTGGTGCAAAAGACACAGAGTTCTCATGCAAGAATTCCGAGCCCAGGAATCTGTTCCAGGATCCAAAACTGAATGGAACTTGCGGTCCTTCCACACTCTCAAAAACTACTCCTGGTCACATTTTGGCGAGCAACTGCATCCTGTTTCCAGGACCCCCCTTGTCTTTTTGTGCCAAAAGCCGTGTGAAAGTAGATGCCGAATTCTCTTGGGCTCAGGGCTTAGAGGAGCAGACGGGGGGGGGGGGGGTCCCAGTTCCCTGGTCTGGCAGAAAAGCTGTGCTTCCCAGCATCGACCATCATCTTAGCTGCCCCTTTCAGAAGAAGACAACATGGGTCAGGAAGATGCAGGAGGCCCCCGAGCCTGGTGCTCTGCCCTGCCCTGGCTCTCATCCCCCCACTCCCAGCCCCTCGCACACATTACTGGGGTGAGAAATGCAGCAGAGCTGTAAAAGTGCCCGGTGCTTTCTAGCCGCGGCCGGAGGAGCCGTTTCAGTAAGTCTACGGGGGCCGCAGGGCGATAAGCCGGCGCTGCTGGTGGTTTGAATTTCTAAAGGCGTCCGCATGTGCTGGAGCACAGCTCCCCTTCCCACAGCCTGCCGTGGGGAACACGGTGTAAGAACACCTGAGTTTTCCTGCCTCCAGAGATAAAGGCTGGAAAACGAAGGCGGCGATGGCACCCAATTCACGACGTTCCGTTGTCGTGGTCTGGAACGCCCAGCATGAAAAGGAAGGAAAATCCCCCAAGAACACCCTGTGGGACCCAGTCCTTTGGGGGCACCATGCAGATCGGAGATGAGCAACCTTGGCCTACCCAGGGGCCAGCCCCTTCCCCCAGTCCCTGGCGGGCCACACTCCTGCTGACGCCATAGCAGAAATGGGGGGAAGGCCAACTTGCTATGAACATTCAGTAGTAAACTCTACAGAGGCTTCCCTTTACTTTGTTTTCAAAGTGCCTTTGTCCCGAGTGAGCCTTCCTAATTCTTGCCATCCAGTATTTTGCTGATTCGTCTGAGCACCAGGGGCCACGTACACTGTGGGGGGGGGGCACATGTGGCCCAGCCATGGCGCGGAGCAGCCCTGTGGCACGATAGACGCACGTGGGCTGTGACAGGCGGGAAGTCAGCTGGTGTGCATCGCTAGACCTCCAGGGCACTTACCGCTGCAATCTCAGCAACTTCCTTAGAGAGAGAGCAAAGAAGGGGAGGCTTCATCGGGGAGTACAGAACTCTGCCTGGTATGGAGCAAGCGGTAGGGAGTGGATTTGGCAATGTTTCATGGTGAGCTTTAACAGGTCGACAATGAAATAAAAACATGAAAAGTCAGACATTGCAATTTTCTTGCGTGACGGCTGAATCAGTCAATTCCTCTTGCAGAGCATTCCAGGAAGCCGATGGGTGGGGGTTCCAGGCAGAGTCTTCACGCAGGTCATGGTTAAACCGCGAGGTTTGCTCCACGGAATGGCGTGTTGGCCAGCAGCAGGGAGGGCTTTGAAAGGACGAATTCCAGGAGGGGCATCCTCGCTCACTGCTCCTGAGGGCTGCACGTGCCCTCCAGCAGCGGGGGCAGCACGCCTGTGCACCCCAGTTGCTGGGGAACATGGGCAGGGGTCGCTCCCCTGTACCGCTGGTGGGATTCCCCAGATGGCACGCTGGACCAGCTGGATGGTTGCTCTGATCAAACGCATCCCTTCTCGTGCTTTTCGGATCTTTGGCGTGTTTGCCACACTTCCTGGCAGCGCATGCCGGGGCTCGGGCCGGGGCAGGACGGATGCACCTCTCCTTGAATAACCCACAGCGAACTCGGAAGGAACCCCCAGGGTCACAGGTGGGAAGCCTCTGCTCTACGGGTGTCTTCTGTCTGGGATCCCCCCCAGGCGGCACCCCCTTTCTCCCAGGGGCCAGCCGTGTGGTGCTTTCCCAGTGCTTGGCCCCATTCCAGAAGGTTGACATGCCTTCCCAAAGACTGACTGATCAACACTGAGAACGGCACGGCCCCCACCCCTGCTGGCCATCGCCGGTGAGAGCAGGTGGAGAGAAGGGGCAGCGCACACCACACCTGCTGCACCTGCCCCTCGCCTGCCTCCGGAGCATCGGGGCCTCCCATCATGGGGCCTCCTTCCGGCTCGGCTCCGCAGGCATCACCTGTTTGGCCGCTCGTGGGCTGGCCCCCTTCGGCGCAGAGACTCTTGGCCGCGGTCGTCAGAGGGCTGTTGTATCTGTTGCTCTTTGCTTGTTAAGTGTGATTATACGGCTGTTTTGTGTGTATTTTTGCATCTGTAATCCGCCCAGAGAGCCCAGTGGACTGTGGGGGGTATGAACAGCTAATAATAGCGAGGCTGTTAAGCGCTCTCTGCTTTTCTAAATCTCCCCGTCTTTTGACCTGGGTCTTCTGCCCAGCCAGCCTGGGACATCTTGGGGTCACCCCTTCACGCACCGGCCCCCTGCGGCCCTTGAGCTCCCCACTGGGCCTGCCTCCCTCTTACGCAATTTCTTGCTTGCTGCTTGGCCAAAATCCCGCTTCTTTGGTTGTTTTGGTGAGCCGCAATGAGAGCCCGTGTGGTCAGATGGTGGGACCGGGACTTGGGAGATGCGCTCGCCCCCACTTGACTACAATCGCTCTGGGTGACTTTGACCCAGTGACTGACACTCAGTTGAGCCTACCTCACAGGGTGGTTGTGAGCATAAGACGGAGAGGAGAAGGACCACGGTGCCACCTTGCACTCCTTGGAGGGCAGGCAGGATTTAAGTGTGACAAAACGCTAAAACTATGACCTGCCTCCTCATCTCCCTTAAGTACGGGTTCCCTTTTTTCACAAGCAAAAAATGGGCAAAAGCTCTACCTTTCATTAAAACGCCTTATTGCATCAAGGACTGCTTAAACCCAGCTCTGGGGGGCCCAGGGTTCTGGGCTGAGGCCCTGCCTTCGTCCAGGTTTTCCTCCCAGGTTAAGGTCCACCTTAACACAGACGGTGGCTCTTGCGCAAACCGAGCCGTGGTTCCCGGTAATGGTCCGTTTGGTGCCTGCTTCTGCCTGGATTATTAATGTGTCTGGGCAGCCTCGTCACGCACCTGCCTGCTCCTCAGTTAGGCCAAGGTGTGGGGAGGTGAAAGGGAGGCCAGCTTCCTCGAAGCCCCACATGCCTCTGGCATGTCTCGCGTGAAGCGCAGGCCCGTGGGAATCCGCAAGGGGTTCTCGCCCTCCGCAGCAAAGCACCTGCCTTGATTAAGTTGCTGCAACGAGGAAGGCGAGCGCCAGGGGAATCCGGAGCGCGTTGCCATGCGGGAGGCCTGCGAGTCCCGGCCTGCTACGGAGCGATCCGCTTCCCTGCACCGGGCCTGCGTGCACCACTTCAGATTGTGTGTTGGCACCCGGCAAAGGGCGGTGGACGCCAGCTCCTGGCGGAAAACGGGGTCGCCCCTTTGTGCCTGAAGCCTGCCTTTACTAAGATCAGTTCAGACTAGCCGTGGCTCATGGGTGCCTTGAATCCAAAGAAGTGAGCCAAGCCGTACGTAGCTGAGGAATGCGTGCCCATCACAAAACTGTGTGTTTTTTGGACGGCGTGGGGGTGGGATTCTTTCCTGGCCAAAGGAATTTTGACCTGCATACTTCGATTGTGTTGCTAAGGCTGCAGCTACCCCTTTGTGCTCGCTGGGGGGAGGAGGGGGGCTCATCTGGACACCATCCTGGGGCGCCCTTGATCCGTGACTCACCCACCACTCTCAAAGGATCCTTTCTTTGCTTCCCTGGGAATCCTGAGAAAGATGTTTCATCATTTACTGGAAATGTTCCTTCGCACAATGAGACCAATAAGAGCTTTTGTTGCTCCCCCCCCCCCCCGAGTCGTTGAGACCTTGAACCTCCTCCCTCTGTAGGGGTGCTTAAAAATAAGTGTCCGCTTCCCTCCCTTTTCCAGTCCCACCGCCCAGGCTTTTTCTTCATGCATATTTAACTTGGAAGCCCTGGCCATTCTGCCTAATAGGAGGGACTCCCAAATAATACTCTGGAGTCTGGCATTAGGCTCCAAATAATCCTTTGAAAGAGGGTTGCAAGTTGTTTGAGAACAGCTTTGCAATGTTGTCCCACGGTTACTTCTGGTTCAACAGACTTTGCAGGATTACATAGAATAAAAAAACCTACTGGACCTATTTACCTGCAAGGGCCACACCACAACCAGTAATCTCCTTTTGCAACCAGCCGTTGCAACACAGAAATGTTGGTGCAATGTTTTGTTCTATTGTTTGCAAAGCTGCAATCGGCTCTGTAAAATAATTTCATTCACTCTTTCATTTAAGGAAGGTGGGTTTGTTTCCAATTTAGGGCATTTCCTAATCCACTGTAGGATCTCTGAGGGGCTTGCCATTCTGACTGTGACACCTTTTGAACATTGCAGAAGTACCATATCACAACGAGGCCGTGTGGGTTTTGCTTGACTCAGGTCCACGTTTGCAGGCTTAGAGCACAAATGTCGGGAGATTAGACCCCGGCCTTTCCAGTACTTAAAACAAAACAGCCGCTCATTCCCGCAAACACCCTGCTGAATGTTGTTGCATTGCAAGATCCATCGTCCCCCACTGATGGTTCTGCAGGGGAGGGCCGAGCCACACGTTGCCCAGCCCCTTTTGGGCTGCCGAGATCAACGGAGGAAGCGGGCCAGCCATGCTTGAGAAAAGCGCCAAGCTAAGCGACCGCTTTCCCCTCACCTTTTTCAGCAGGGCTGCGACCCCTGGGCACAGACGCAGCGCAGCCGGCTGCAGCACCGCCGAGCGCGGATTAACCAGCAGATCAACAAGGAGATGAGGATGCGAGCCGGAGCAGAAAACCTCTTCAGGTGTGTGGTGACCCATTGCCAGCCAGTCGCATTTTCGGTTCGTTATCACCTGTACCTGCAAGGTGTTGGAAGCTAGAACGGTGCTCTTTGCGCCTAAAGAGGAAGAGAGCAAAGGAAGTTTTGATACCTACCGTGCCCTTCGGTAGGACTTTTAAAAAAAGAATTGAGGGCTGCAGAGATCTGTTACAAGGGTATTCCACAAGCAGTCTCAATTTTGCTAGGTGTTCTCCTGAGATGGGGCAGAGCGACGGAGCAGGCCGACGCACTGGCTCCTTTGTCGAGGCGCAGCTTTCGTTCCCTGCAGGTGTGGAGCCACCAAACGCCCAGCTTCGGCGGGGGCGCACACGCACCCTGTAGTACAACCCCAGGAGCGTCTCCTTTCTCTCTTGCCCGTGGCAGGAGACTCCAGCAGGGGCAACTGTGAGCACGATGGGGGCAGCAGAGCGGGTGCAGGGCAGCTGCAGCCCTCAGATTAGCAGCTGAAAGCCGGAGGATCGTTGAAAGGATGTGAACGGAGGTGGCGGAGCGTGGACAGTCAGCCTGCCGTCCTGCCAGGGTTCGGAAGAATGCGTGGGGGCGATTCTGTGCAGCCCCGGGAGGTGACTAAGCGGCGCCCCAGAAGCAAAACACCTGGCGCTGAAACAGCGGCCGCGCTGGCCGCCTCCGGGTGCGGGGGCCCTCCTGAGGCCTCGTCTGCGTCAGAGGCGACCCCCCGCATTCCAGGGTGAGGAACCGGAGCCTCCGGGTCGGCCCTTCGGAGCTGTCCTTGTGGAGCAAGGCCCGCCTCTGGGCTGTGACTCCAGGCTGCAGGAACAGGCGTGGGGACCACCGATTGAAGACCTGCATGTGGAAAGCTAGTGTGTCAAGGGAAAGGGCTCCAGCCGAGCTGCTAGTTTTGTGTGTGGAGCTGACTGGGAGGGCGGCAAGAAGGGGGGCGCACAGTGTCCTTTGAGGGGCCCCACCGGCAGCCCGTCCGGGCACAAGGTTGCCACATGCCCTGCCGCATGCGAGCGTTTAGCCCACAACTCTCTAAAGCTCCCAGGCAGGGCAGGGTGTGCCTGGATCCATCGGACTGACCTCAGGGCTGGCTGGGGCATGCTGGGAGTTGTAGTCCAAGACATCCGGAGAGCATCAGGCTGGGGGAGGCAGGTGGAAACTCAGGCAGCCACAGTGGGCGTTGCAAGCCGGTGGGAGGCCCCTTGGGTTGGCGAAGGGGGGACTGTGCGTGATCCCACCTGCGAGCTGACGATCCCCAGCATCACCCCGGGGTCTCCAGGGCCGAGGATCGGGTCGCAGTCCTGGCAAGGAAGGAAAATAGGCCTGACCCAACACAGCGCGGGCTCTGATGTTTCCCTCCTAGCGCCGGTTCGCCCAGCACGTGGCAGGAGCCTTCCCGAAGGATTGCCCACCTGTCTGAACGGAGAGGCGTTCCGTGGCGCGGGGATGCATCCTGACCTGCTGGTCCTTCGAACGGGGGGCCAGAAAAGCAGGCGGTCGCACCAACCCGATCCTAGTCATTCTTGTTGCCGCCAGAAGGTCTTTGGAAGGCAGCTAGCCCTTCTTGGCCCACTCACCCCAAAAGGACGACTGGTGAATTTGAGGCTGGGGGTGCAGTCGATTGCCCACCTGGTGAAGAGGCATCCCTGCCAGCCCCAGCTCCATAACCAGGGTTGTTGCGTTCCACTTCGAGCAAGGATTGAGTGTGGTCAATGATGGCTTGCCGTGTCGTCTGAACCCAGCCGTGGCGACTCACCGTGGCTGAGAACCACGATGCGAGGCAGCAGGCCGTTCCAGGGTTTCCCTCCCACGATTGCTTGTTGTGTCCTCCGAACGTGAGCAGCTCAACCCATTGTGGGGAAAGCCTGAGCATAACAGAGCCACTTGGCTCTGGCCACGTGGCCACCCAGAGGCCCGGCTGGCAGCTGCCCGTTTGGCATGTCCGCCACAACCGCCCCCCTGCCCCAGAGTTTCACCCTGGAGTGGGCTGCAGCAACTGGCGATCGACTGGACTGTTCTCGTTCTTGCGATCGCTCGCCTCACAGGTCTCTGGCTCCCAGTTTGCCCACTCTGCTGGCCAAGTGGCCCGGTCGTGGCCTTCGAAAGCTCTCCCTCAGTCCCAGCCGAAGAGCCTTTTCTCCTGGCTGCCTTACAAAGCCCTTACTTCTTGCTTTCTTTCTCAGAAGAGACCAGAGCTCTGTAGGTCTCTGCACATTTCTCAGATTTAACCCATGCGCTGGTAGATGTGGGGCCCTTTTCTGTCCCAACATGCATAAGGTTAGGTTTGGGTTTTGTGTATTTTTATCGAAAGACTCACTACATGAGGGTTAGGGTTCGGCATGTGCATGGACTTGCTTCCCATTTGGCTTTGTGTCCCGTAATTGCAGCCATACAGGCTACCGAAGAAATGTGTTTCCTTCTTGGCCTTTTGAACCAAGGGGTGTGAACTAGTCCTGACGTGGCAGATGCAAGAGATAGTCTGGGGCTGCGGCTGCAAAATTTCATATTCCTCCTCCGGACAAGGAATTCCCTCTTCCATTGGCTACCTAGCAGGGGTGTTGTGAAGGTAAACGAAAGGGCCTCTCCATCCCCATGCAGTAAATACGGTGCATGGCATCCCCTCCCTCTGCTTGCAGGGCCACCAGTAACCACAAAGTGAAGGAGACCGTTGTCTTGGAACTCAGCTACGTCAACTCCAACCTGCAGCTGCTGAAGGAGGAACTGGAGGAGCTGAACAGCTGCATGGATGTGTACCAGAACGACAGGTACGGCGGCCAGCTATTTGCAGCTGGGGTGGGGACACGGGAGCAGCCCTGGGCCCCGGGCCACAGGCCCTGCCTTCCTCAGCCTGAACCAGCCTCTCCCTTGTGAGCCTTTCGAGATTTTCAGGCAATCCGGGGTTGGAGGAGGGGGGCTTTCGCTTGGTATCACCGCTGTTGGGGTCACCAGGCAGGGCCCTCCCAGGAGCTGCCTTGCTCCCAGACTCCACAACTCCCTGCTGAGAGAGGCGAGGTTGGCCCTCGTGGGCCGTCTTTCCTCCGCCAATCCCCCCTTTATGCAGGTGCGCCCTTGGCATTTCGGTGCTTCTGCTCCTGAAGGGGCTTTGCAGCGGCAGGCGCTGCTTATTTCTTCGCCCGTTGTGTTTTATCTATATATTTAACTGGGCAGTCTGTCTCGTTCCCTCTTCGTGGCTTTTAATCCGTGTTCTGTAGCAAGGCAACATGGGCACCATTTTCTGGTGGAAAGACTGGATGAAAAATAAGTCGAGAAAGGGACAGATAGACATTTCCTTCTGATATTCCCCTCAGAGCATGAGGAGAGGACCAGGAGCTGGCCCTGGCTCCAGGGGGCGATGACTTCCAAGCATCTGGGGGCCTTTTCAAGTTGATCCCTCCCCGCGGAGCCCCCCCCCCCGCTGCAAAGCATTTCCAGAAGTTACAGGACAAACCGCTTTGCGGGTAGCAGTGCCAGCTTCTGTCAGCTGTCCTGGCTGAGCCCGGCCTTTGCCAAGCTGTAGCCTTGGTGGTCCCTAAGACCGTATCGCAATGTCCATCCCCTCCAGCCAGCAAGGCAAGTTGGACTCCCATGTCTAGAGAGCACCAGGTTGGGGGTGGCCGCCATACGCTGTGTCCTGAAGGGGTAATGGGCATCAGCTCTGCCAGGGGTGCAAGATTTGGCTTAGAACGCTCCCTCAGTGGCCTCCGGGAAGCTTTGACCAGTCATGGCAATAACTGGACCTCGTTCAGAGGACAGGTAGTTGTTAGGATGGGTTGCTGTGACATCCAGACTCTGCCAAATGGTTTAAATATGGGTTGTGAGCCACAAACAGCCCAGACTTCACAACCCAACCACAGACCATAAATTCTCTTTCTGGGCTGTTTATGGTTAAAGCATAGTACAAAGCTTACGTAGAACGGCAACCCGCGATTCAGCAACAGCCTGCCATTATGCGCAAGCAATCCTTGCGGCACTGATTTCCTGCGTGAGGTGTTCTGAACTGTATCTGAAGGGTCCCGGCATCCTCGGGCACCTGTCCAAACGAGATACCGCGGGCCGATGAAGCAGCTTCCTTCTGCTGGACCCTCTCTGTCCATTGCCTGGTGAGTGTGTTCCCCTCTAGGAAAAGGGAACACACCGCCCATCGGAGATAACTTCCTGGCCGGGGTCCACATCACAGATTTATTCTGGAACGTACAGACTAGGTCATGTCCAGGGAACAGGAAGGTGCATGAAGTCCCAAAGAAATCCAAGGCAGCCCTTGGAATCAGACCCGAAGGTAACCGGAACCCAGAACAAACTGTGGGTCCTCACAGCAGCTCAGCCGCGGTGCCTCGCACCGTTCACCTGGGAACAAGCCACGGTTCATACAGCGAGGCGTTGCGCTGAGTAAGCAAGTTGAGGGTCGCACAGCCGTGCTCGAGTCTTCAGCGGGCCAAACTGCAATTCAGCTCTCGGGGCCACAGGCTCCTTCCTCCCACTGCAGTAACATAGAGACATAGAAAGAGAGCGAGTCAGAAGGGGTCTCCGGGCCATCTAGTCTGACCCCCGGCTCCAGCCGGCTCCGCTCACGACATGCCCACCATGTGCATGTCCAGCCTGTCCTTGAACACCCTCATCAATGGGACCGCAACCACCTTCCCTGGAAGCCCCTTCCATGCCCTGGGGGTCCTAACCGTCAGGAAGGCCTGGCCGGCTTTCCTGGATCATACCAGAGCCGTTTGAAAATGGCTTCCCCTTGTTTTGCGCAAATGCCGCTTGTGGCATGTGAGCGCAGCATTCTAGCGAGTCATTCCCTTGGCCTCCGACCTCCCGGAATACAAGAATATCTCAGTTTAGGGGCTCACAACATGTTTTACTCGTTCATGTTCATTATTCGGGGCACGGATGGAATTGTTTGTTTGTTTGAAGACCAGCTTCTTATCTAAACAAAATGCCTCCTTAATAAGACGGACCTTCCTGGCTCAGGGATGCCGTTTTTACTCGCCATAGGCGAATAGGCAGTGAGCTTTCTCAGGCTTTATGGTTTCTGTGCACAGTCCTAGGGATGTGGGTTTGCCTCTTCCTTTAGCTCCCTGTCCCTTCGAGGCCACCAGTGCGACCTGGATGGTTCATTGCCGGCTGGTGGTATTTTTAAGGCGGGTCTGGGTTGTTTTTTTAAGCATCGTAATTGCTTTGAAAGAATTACTGCCCCAGCTTCATCTTGTTAAGAGGCTGATCCTGCCAGCGAGCAGCCTGGTGCGATGTCTTGGCAAAGTCCGTCTTTTTAGCCTTGCGGAAAGAGGTGGAACACCCTCCGACGCCGCGTCAGCCTTTTCAGCCTGAAATAACTCCCCTTCTGAGCGGATCATGAGCTGGCTCCGCAGCGGCCCTGCCGCTTCATTAATCACCCCACACCGATGCTTGTACGTTTCCTGTGCTTCGTGCAAAACTCTTCCTGCATTTGCTGCTCATCCCAAATATTTGGTGACAGTTTCGTGCATTTATTTATTGTCTTTGCATCCCATCCGTACAGCCAGAACGACGCTAAATCAGTCCAGTGAGCAGAGACTCTCCCAGCCCTTTTAGCGGCATCTGCCAGGATTGCTGACCAGGGGCCATGCTGACCGGGGGCTGCTGGGAGCTGCCGTCCAGCTCGTCTCTTAAGGCACCAAACCGGGAAAGGATGCCCTGAAATGTGCGGCCCACGGGGGCTCAGTCCCTGGTGACGCCGTTGTGCACATTAAACAATTATTTGTGGCATTTTGTTCCACCGCTCCGCAAGAGACTCAGCATGGGACGCAGTGCTCCCAGCTGCTCACAGGGACTGGCCCACGGTCACGCACGGCCTGACCCAGCGCTCCGCCGGAGCCGCTGCCACTGCCACGAAGGAGCTCGGGACCCGGGGGACTTTCTCCCGTGGAGGCTCGTTCGTGCCAGTGAGCCTTCGGTGGGATCCTCACCCCTTGTCACCACCGCTGTCCGGTGCGTTTTAGGGCGCACCTTTTTAGCCAGGAGAAAATCACGCAACTGCCAGCATGCCCTGCCGGCTCGCTGGAGATCGTGGGACAGCGTTTCTCTCTGATCTCGCTGAGGACTGCGCTGGAGTAAGTCGGGGCTGCGGGCTTGTGTGCCTGGTCGAGTGCCTGCATGGCCGGAAGGGATCGGGGCCGATCCCTCGCCCTTTGGGAGGGATGCACCAGGGGAATCCCGAGAGTGCCTCGGCCGTGATTTAGGGACAGGTTGCGCGAAGGAACTTTTCCTCCGAGTACTCGCTCGCTCTCCCCGCACGCGACTCTCGCCTCTCCCAGCTTTGCCCGCCCTCTGCTTAAGCTTGTTGTGCCAAGATCCCTGCAGCGTGGCAGGAGCGGGATGGAAACGATGCGGGCGCCGGATGGGGAGGCGGCCGGAGCGCGTGTCCCACTGGAGGAGCGAAAGGAGAGGAGAGAAGCGGACTGGCCTCTGCGGGCGCAGCAGCACCAGCGGGGACCCGGGCGGCAGGCGGAAGCAGCCCAGCCTTGCTCTCTCTCTCTCTCTCGTTTAGCGACTCCATCAGCGTCCCCATGATCCCACTGGGGCTCAAGGAGACCAAGGAGCTGGACTGGGCAGCGCCGTTGAAGGTAAAGCGCGTCATGGGCAGCCTTCCCAAGGCAGCTCTGGACCGAGGGGGCTGGGGAGGCACTCAGGATGGGGGCTTGCTGCTGTGCGGGCCCGCCTGCTTTGGGGGCAGCCTGGCGAGACTGGGGAGCCGGGGTGGCCTCCCCCAACCAGCTGCCCCCGGTTGTGCTGGACGGCGACTCCGCTCCCACTGGCTGGGTAATGGGCATTGTGGTGCAATGCCTCCGGGGACTCCCGGTTAAAGGGGGCAGCTTTACAGACCTCTTGCTCGAATGTGGGAGCAACAGGCAAGGCGGGGGGGGGGGGCAGGGGGTGCTCTCTCTGACCTGTCCTGCTGGTGGACTTCTTGTCCCATGGGAAGCCGGAGGCCGGGCCAGGTTCCCCTGCACCTGCTCTGCAGGTTAAATGTTCTTGAAACAGGTGTCTTCCCAGGGCCTTGCATGGCTTAGAAATTGGGGGAAGGACGGGTTGAAGGCAGAAGGCCCACAAACGGAAGACCGGCTTCTTCTGTGCTTGCTTGTTTCTTCGTTATGCTTTTATGCACAAAGGGCCTGCTCTGCATAGTTAACCCAGGAAAAAAGTGAGCCTTCTGTCTGTCTGTCTGTCTGTCTGTCTGTCTGTCTGTCTGTCTTTTTCTTCCTCCCTCCCTCCCAGGAGATGATCTGGCACCACTATGGCGAAGACAGTGCCTTGTTTGAGACGGAGATCAGCAACCTGGTGGAGCTGCGGCAGGTGTGTGCAAGAAAGCAGGTGCTCTTGAGGAACCATTCCTGTGTTCCCAGCACCTTCTCAGTATCCTGTGGATGCACGTCTTGGACAGACTCGGCCGGGCTGCGCATCCAAGCGGCGTTTCGTCTGGCAGTGCCGGTGAAGGGCAGTGGCTACGAGACGGGGGGCACCAGCCTCTGTGCCTGTGGCTAGTGGAGCATCCCTCCGGTGCTTGGGACTGTCCCTCGGATGACACGGAAGGGCCGCCCTTGGCTCTGTCCCCACCCCTGCAGAGCGGCCCTTGGCCAGCCGCTTTCTCAGGCTCAGCCTTGCTGCCGTACGGGAATGTGAGGCCTGTCCTGCCAGAAAGGGCTGCTGTCCGATTAGGACAGGACTATATGTGGGAAGCACCCCGAACCCTTCTGCATCCCATCAGGATTAAACGACAGCCATGATAAGCTGGATAAATAAAGTAGATCCGTTTGGATCGGGGGAACGGAGAGCGTTGCCTAGCAAGCAGCCCTGGACCTGCTCAGGCGTGGGTTAGTCTGGCCCAGTTCATCTGCCCCACCTGCGGAGCAGCTTCCTGGGGTACAAAAGGCCATTCTCAGCACCTGCTCTTTGAAGTGGGGGTGCCGAGGGTTGACTGGAGACCCGCATGCCACTGAGCCATGAGAATCCCTCCCCCCCATTCATATTTTGTATTTGAGCTTTGGCTGCTGAGTGGTGCAGGAGGGAAATACGTAGCGCTCTTCCCTTCCCGGGAGTCTGACTCTTGAGCACGTGGCTCTCCCGTTTCGTCCTCGTGATCCCTCTGCCCGGTAGCTCAGGCCGAAGGACCCAGCGCGCTGCGTGGCCGAGCAGAGGTTTGATCCAGGAGTGGGGCCCTGGGCTCCGGCTCCGGCCACCGTGGCTGGAACACCAGCGGAAAAAGCAGCGCCTGGACCGCGGCCGTGCCCTGGCTTCCCCTCCTGCCCCTGCTGGCTGCCTTCTTCCCCTTCTCTTCCCAACAGGCCATGCGGACTCCCAGTCGGAATGAAGCCGGCCTGGAGCTGCTCATGGAGTATTACGCCCAGCTGTACTTCATAGACAACCGTTTCTTCCCTCCCACTCGGACCCTCGGCCTCTTCTTTCACTGGTCAGTGGCATTTGTGACCTTGCAGAGGGGAGGGGACGAGCCCCCAAAACTCACCTCTTCGGAAGTTTGTCCCGGGCAGAGGAGACGGGGCTAGAAGCACGAGCTCCCAAGCCAGGCATGGCTCAGGTGCTCTGGATTGCCTCGACTCTTCCGGATGACCCGTGAGAGCCTTTTCTCCTCCGTGTAGGCAGCACCCCTCCGGAAAGCTATTTTAAAGCATCGGATGCAGGAGCAGGTGGCCCAGAGGTGGTGCTGCAGAGCCCTGTGGCGGCTGAACGGAGCCCAGGTGGCCACGTCTCGCTCTCAGGCTGGCGTGCTCCCTGCCGCTTTTTCTGTGGAGCCGCAGGGGGAAAGACAGGGAGATGTTCTAGGCCTCTTTTTCTGTCTCAGTCCCCACTGAACACCTCGCCCCACGTCGTGCCTGTCAGCAGTCACTGATAGACGCAACGCTGTTCCTTCCAGCCGGTTTTCCCCTCATGGCTCCGGAAAGCAACGCCAGATGCCACGGCCCCAGTCGCGGCCGATGGCGAGAGCAGTTCGAATTCCACCAGGCCACTGGTCTGTTTTGCCAAAGGGTTCCTGAGCTTGCAGAGCAGACGCCAGCCCCTTCCCCGCTGCGTTGGCTAGCTGAGGAAGCGTTCGCGGCGCCTCCGGGTCTCCCGGTCGCTCCTGTGGCCCTGAGCGGGGCCGTGGCTCCTTCTGTCCCCTCCTCCTCCAGGTACGACTCCCTCACAGGGGTCCCCTCGCACCAGCAGGCCCTGGCCTTTGAGAAGGCGAGCGTGCTGTTCAACATCGGGGCCCTGCACACCCAGATCGGGGCGCGCCAGGACCGGACCACCTTGCAGGGGCTGGACTGTGCCATCGAAGCTTTCCAGAGGGCGGCTGGTACGTGGCGTGTCGAGCGTGTCTTTGGGAGGAGCCGGCGATGCTCCCCTGAGCATCCTGAGGGGTGGGCCCACGGCGGAGCGGTGGGGGGCTCACACAGCCTCGTGCGAGAGCTGCAGGCCCTCCGGAAGAGCAGGGCCCGGCCCGCTGCCCACCTGGAGCACGGCGGAGCCAGCCTGGCTCAGTCCTCCCCGTGCCAGCGAGGCCGCTCTTCTTCGCAGGAGCCTTCAACTACCTGAAGGAGAACTTCTCCAACGCCCCCAGCCTGGACATGAGCACCGCCTCCCTCAACATGCTGGTGCGGCTGATGATCGCGCAGGTCCAGGAGTGCGTCTTCGAGAAGGTCCTCCTGCTCCGCGCCCAGAGCAGCTTCCTCAGCTGCCTGCAGCTCGCGCAGGAGGCAGCCAGGGTAGGGCATCCGGGCACGCGCGGGCAGGCGGGAGGCGCGGGGGGGACCGGGCCCCAGTCCCGCCTGAGGGTATGCCAGAGGGCTGCCGCCTCTCCTCCCACCCACCGGCCGCTTCGCAGTTTCTTGGCATTGGCGCGACCTTTTCCCTGCTCTAAAGGAGCGAAATCCTCTTGTGGCGGCATCACCGAGAGCCAGAGCTTTAAGCTAAAAGAAGTTTGTGGGTTTCGCTATTCGTGCTTTTTACCTTCGGCTCGCTCCCTTTTGCTTTGGGTTCCTCCCTCTGCGGGAACAGGGCCCCCGAGGGCTTCTCCGGCATGCGGTCGGCTGGAAGAGGCTGCACGCCCCGCGGTCGGTCGAGGCCTGGGGAAGGGCCCGGCAAAGGGCCTCCCGCAGCCCCGTGGCCGCGTCGCCAGCGCGTCTGCGTGTGCGTGTCCCTCCAGGTGGAAGAGGTCTATTCCTTGGTGTACCAGACCATGACGCAGCCCCACGTGAAGGACTACGTCCCCTTCTCGTGGACCACGATGGTGCACGTCAAGGCCGAGCACTTCACGGCGCTCTCGCACTACTTCGCCGCCATCGCGCTTTGCGACCACCCCGGTGAGCGGCCCGGTCTTCCTGCCTACCCTGGCGGCTCCCCACCGCCCCGCCCCGCCCCGCCCCACTCGAGGGGGGCACCTCCCCCCACGGCCCCCGCAGCGCTTCTGCCCGACTGATGCCGCCTGGACAGGTGTGCGTACCTTCGCATGGCTCCCCTCCCAGCTGGCCACTGATGCTTGCGGGCGTGTCACACTCGTCTGCAAGGGAAAAGTCTCAGAAGTGAAAGTAGCTACCTTTTACCAGAATCGGGGCACTAATGAAGGAAAATCAAGGCCTGAGAATGAATTGGCTCCCGTTTCCAAGATACAGTTCTGGGACAAAATCACATCAGAATAATTCAAAATTACGAGGGGGGCTTTGCAAAATCGCTTTTCCACAAAATGAGATGCGGCAATGAGAATGGTGCCACCGTTATAAATTTAGTTCACTCTGTGAAATTAGATGTGGTTCAGGAGCATTATTCAGTGGACTAAAGCTTGGGTCCACTGACGTCGACGGCCCCGATCAGCTGCATCCCGCTCCTCATCTTCATGTTCGTTTGAGTCTAGAGAGGGGGGTTCTGGAAGTGGCAAGTCCTCGCCACAGAGTACAGGACGCGCTGTGGATGAATGTCGGGATATTCCACAGTCCACTTCTTTTTTGAGACCCCTTTTGCAATTGGGATACATCAAGCTGCCGCATGTTCGTCATGCAAACCGCTGCCCGCTTGGGCAGGAAGGACAGCTATCGGGCCTGGATTCTAGATGGAAAGACTGATCTGTAGTGGGCAGCTATAGATTCCCCAGCCAGCCTAGCTCAGTCCTGTTTACTCCTTTGTATGTACATCCCGCCTCTTTCCTTGCAAGAGAGGCAAGGCAGCTCACATCCTTCTCCTCCAGCCCCTCTCAGTCCTCCCTCCACAACAACCCTGTGAGGTAGGCTGGGCTGAGAGGCTGCGACTGGCCCCCGGTTGCCCAGTTGCTCCATGGCTGAGCGGGGACTTGAACCCGGATGGCCTGGGTCCCAGTCCAGTGCTCTTAATCTCTCCACCACGCTGACTCTCCGGTAGGACCTCTTCCTGTCTAAACGGATTGCCCCCAAAGCCGATTTAGCTGCCTGGCTTTTATCCAGGGGATAAATTAACCAGATACTTGGCGAGTCATTGCAGCCGGGAAACGCCACGGTGCCGTTTGAGGATCTGGACGGAGGGCGCAGAGCCTTCTCCGCCCAAGAGTTGCGTCCAGGCCTAGGGGACACCCCGCAGCAGCGTTCTGGCGTGGGTGGCCCCTCGGCGACCGGGCAGGGCCAAACGGTGATCCGCGGCCAGAGTCCGCAAGCGTGGAAGCGAGCGTGCCCACGCCACAGTGAGCGCAAGCCACGGGGGAGGCCAGACTGCGCTCCGTGGCGTCCACTGTCCTGGGCGGGGAAGACTTTGTTCTCGGCACAGCGGCTGAGAACAAAGTCTTCAGCAAAATGATCCCGAGGAGGGATGGGAAGTCCCTGCTCCTGCCTTGCCCCCCCACCCCCCTACTAGCTGTACCTCACACTTGCACTGGGCGGACGTCCGGACCCCTCCCAGCCTGAAAGCAGACCAAATTGCGGGAGAACATCACTTCCATTAACAGAAGGACTACTTCCAAATCTCGAGAAGCAGTCGTTCCCCTTACTCCTCACTGGTCAGACCTCACCTGGAATACCGTGTCCAGTTCTGGGCACCAATATTTCAGGAAGATGCAGCTAAATTAGAAAGGGTCCAGCGGAGGGCGACAGAAATGATGCAGGGTTTGGAGACACTGCCCTGTGGGGAGGGATGGAGAGAACTGGGCATGTTCAGCCTTGAGAAGGGAAGACTGAGGGGGGGCATGATATCCCTCTAGAAGTACCTCCAAGGCTGCCCCAAAGAGGAAGGTCAGGATCTCCTCTTGCTGACGCCAGAGTGCAGGACGGGGAATAATCAGTCCAAGTTGCGACAACCCAGATTCAGGCTGGACATCAGGAAGAGCTTCCTCACTGTCAGAGCAATGGGGCAGTGGAACCAGCTGCCTGGAGAGGTGGGGGGCTCTCCCATGCCAGAGACATTCAGAAAGAGACTGGGCAGCCCTCTGAGTGGGAGGGTGTGACTTGTCCTGCAACAGCAGGGGGTGGACTAGATGGCCTTCATGGCCCCTTCCAGCTCTACTATTCTGTGATTCTATGATTCCGCTTTTACGGGCGCTCGTGATGAGCTCACACGTGCATTTATATTTAAGCCAGGTCAGCTTGTGCAAAGTCCAGCCAGACGCTGAACAGGCTGTGTCTGCACCGGCACAGATGGCCCAGCTTTTAAAAGATGACTGCAAATCACAGCCCAGTTCACAAGTGGAAACCGTGTGTCAGCTTGACTTGCCTCGGAACGAGGCGGTGCAGCTGGGGGTTGACGGGCCGGGACCTGGGGCGCCAAGCCCAGCCCCCAACCAGACCCCTTGGAGATGCTTCTCCGGGGACTTGAGTCACTTCCTCTGCACGGGCAGATGGCTGCTTGCCGGCTCGGCCGTCTGCCAAGCAATGGCCCATGCCAGACGGTCGTGGATACGCACGTGCGTTCTGGCACACCCCAGAACTGGCACGGACGGAGACATCCCGCCCCGTGGTGCCACTGGGTGCCAGTTCCCGGCCTCTCTCGATCCGAATGGGCTCGCAGCAGCGGCTTCTGCCCAGGTGTTGTTTTTGGAGCGGAGCAGAAGCTGGGCTGCTCAACTGCCGAGCCTGGACGGTGCTCCGGAAACTGGGAGTCCTTTCGTAATTGCTTGATCTCCCTGCCTAGTGCTCAGGGCAGCCGTAATCCTGAACTTCATCCTAACCTAGGAAGATTAGGAGCCTAATCCTACGGAAGGCTTTATCCAGCAAAGGGTGATAAATACGTACGGGACTGAGTCCATCCCTGGGTGGAGCGTGTCCGTCCGTTTCCAGCATGCAGCCTTCTCCGTCCAGGAACTGGCAGGCTATCGGGAAGGGTGGGCAGAATTTGGAGTCCCTTGGCACAGAAGTCTGGCACAGCTTTTGATCTTGGACCCCGTGCCCTGGTAGAAGGTTCACCTCGGCCCCCTTTCTGGACCCTCAGCTTTGCCCCGAGTCACAGGCTCTGCACCCCCAGGGGGAGGAGATCCACATGCAGGCCAAGGAACGGGGCAGGAGAAAATCCTGCACCATCCCAGGGGAAGGTCTGCCTCCAGCTCACCTTACCCATCGTAGGGAACCGGGGCTTGATCTGAAGGGGGAGGGACGCAACACCTCGGAATTGTGCATCCGGTACAAGATGTTGTGCAAACGTGCAGAATCACCCGTCCCTCGTACAGAAGGCGGCCCAGCCTTGCGCTAAGGCGCCCGGCCCCGTTTCCTGCCGCCTCACCCTTTGCCTGCTCTCTTCCCTGCAGCAGCCCCCGGCGCAGACCCCCCCGAGCACGAGAAGGCCTTTCTCCAGTTGCACATCAGCGCGCCGGAGGGGCCGGCCCTTCGCCTGCTCCTGCAGGACCCGGAGGAGCGGAGACGGCTGGGTAGGTGCCTGTGGAGCACCCTCGCCTTTCCCGGGCCAGAGCTGCTGTGGGGCGCCGCACGGAGCCGCCTGGGGTGGAGGGAGGGCTTTGGCTGGGGGTGGGATGGGCCCGCCGTCGCTTTGCTCTGGACAGAATCCCTCTTTCGGGGCTGGGGGTAGTGCAGCCCCCCAGGAGCTGTGCGTGTGTCCTGCCCCCATCCTGCATCCCCCAAAGGCCTTGCGGGGGCTTGGGAAGCCCACGGAAAGGCTCCGCCAAGCGGCCCCGGGGGGAGAAGGGGCTGAGCCACTGCGCCAACATCGGCCGTGCGGCGGTGGCCAGCCTCCCTTTCTGGAGGAGCGCAGAGGCCGTTCTCGGCGCCCGGCGCCCGTCCCATGAACCGGACAGCAGTGGGCTTTGCACGGCCGGTCCAGGCTGGGTTCCCGCCCCGCCGGGCGGCTTTCTGCCCCATAGCTTGCATAATTGCTCCATACATGCCCATGGTGCCTCTCCAGCGGCTAGTCTGGGCAGCAGCCCTGCTGTTGGGATTAAGGGTAGCGGGGTGCAGGGTGGCAGATGGAGAGTGTAGTCCGAAATGCCCTCGTCGTTAAATGAGGCTTTGAATGCGGCAGTGCTGGCTGAAGCGGACGGAGAGGGGAGAGAAGGCCTGCTGGGGAGGGCCTTCTTCCCTGGGCATCCAGGCACCGTTTCCTGCCTGTCGGGTTGCTGGAAACAGGATTTTATAAGGCAGATAAAGAGTTTCAGGAAATGCACCCGTGTCCAGTCAGTTCCCAAAGTACAAACATTCGCTCCCAGTCCTGGGCAGAGGGTGACGTGCAAGCGATCACACACTGCAATGGCCGGCGCTCGTCAGACCGATGGTCCCGTACGCAGCCCTGGTGCCCATTTTGAAACCGTTCCATGTGGGGGGGGCCCCTCTGGGACAGACGCAGCTTTATTAGCTTCCAGTGTCAATATTTTCTTTGCCCACCGTCAGAACTTAGAAACAGAGCGAGTCAGAAGGGGTCTCCCGGGCCACCTAGTCTGACCCCCGGCTCCAGCCGGCTCCGCTCACGACATGCCCGCCATGTGCATGTCCAGCCTGTCTTTGAACACCTTCACCGATGGGGCCTCAACCACCTCCCGAGGAAGCCCATTCCATACCCTTGGGGTCCTGACTTTCAGGAAGGACTTCCAGGCATCCAAATTGAACCTTGCTTCCCTGAGCTTTGCTCCGTTGGAGTACGTCCTGCCTTCCTCTGCAGGGGAGAACAGGTCTGTCTCCACCTCCATGTGACACCCCCTCACATACCTGCATGTCGCCAACAGATCCCCTCTGAGTCTCCTCTTCTCCAGGCTGAAGAGACCCAGTTCCCTCAGTCTCGCCTCATCCCCTGCAAACCGGCCACCAACCTTGTGGCCCTACACTGCATGACTCTAACCTGGCTAGATCCTTCCTGTAATGAGGAGCCCAAAACTGAGCACAGTACTCCAGTTGCGGGTGCACCAGAGTTGTAGAGTGGTAGTAATACCTCTCTTGATCTAGAAGCCACACTTCTGGCTATGCAGCCAAGGGTGGCGTTCGCCCTCCTGACCTTCGCGCCACACCAACTCACGTTCAGCCTGCAGTCGAGCAGCAGCCCCTCCAGCTTAGGCTGGAAGTTCCTCGAAGTCGCTTCTCCAAGGGGGCAGCCAGGGTCCCAGCCAGCGGAACCGATGCTCCAGCCAGGCGATGGTGCTCGGCCAGCGTCGGTGGAAGCTGGGCATCTTTGCAGAGCCTGGGGCCCCTGCAGTGACATTGCTGACCACGGCCGAGCTGATGCCACGTGGCCGATCTCGCACGGGAACGAGGGTGGCAGTTCACCCCCCCCGGTGGTCCTCCGGCCTTTCTGCAGAGGATGACGGGGTGGTGATGGTGCTGGTGGTATTGATGTGCCTGTGCAGGCAAAGCGCACCTGAAAAAGGCCATCATGCGGCACGAGGAGGCCATGAGGATCCACGGCCTGTGCAAAATCCTGCGCAAGATGGACATCCTGCAGGAGGTCCTCTGCCTCGCCCACAAGCGCTCGCTCCGCAAGTACTCGGAGATCGACCACGAGGAAGACTTCTTCGAGGCGGTGGAGGCGCCCGATATCCACCGTAAGTGCACGGGGGGGACGGGGCACGCCCATGGGCCCTGCCGCTCGCTTCACGCATCACAGGGGCTCCCCCATGGGGCATCTCGGGGGGCGAAGGGCCGCTCCCTGCACCTTGCGCCGGAGGGCTCGGGAAGAACGCCGATCTGCATTCCCTCCGCATCACGTGCTCACTGATGTCCGGCCCACCTGAATTCTGCCGCACCCAGCCTGATGGGTCCCCCACCCGCCTAGCCAGCCCCCCGTAAGTTGGCCTCGCCCCCCCCACCCCTCACTTTTGCCCATTCGGCTTGCCAGACTACGGACGTCTTCGTTTCCACTCCAGAGAAGAATTTGGGGTCAGACGCTCGCGGGTGAGCAGGACGAGAGCCGGAGACGTGGTACTTTCCGGCTCGGGATGAGGGGTCTGCTTTGCGCCTCTTGGCTTGGGGAAGGGGCAGCTCTCCCTGCACCAAGTGCCACGTTCTCGCCGCCACTCGGCAAAATTACTGACCAGACTTTCAGGGAATTGGCTCCTTTCTTCCCCATGTCAGGCTTCAGAACCATTTCAGATCTGTAAGAGAACTGAGCTGGGGCTCTGGACATATTTTTTAAGAATCCAGTTTTGCAGCAAGCAAACCTGCACAGATCAGTCCAACGAAGGGTCGGCCAGGTGTGTCTTTCCTACCCTGCTTGCTTCAGGATGCACGGCGGTCGCGGGAACGCCGTGCATCTGTCCTCGTTGGCCTCCCAGATTTCAGCTGGCGTCATGCACACACTCCCGAGCTTTCCAGGGTGGCAGGCCCAGATGCCACGCATGCCTGCAGGCTCAGCCGCCATCGCGGGCGCCCGGAGGCTTCCAGAGGTGGCCCCAATCCCCCCTTTCTCATCTCTTTCAGCTAAAACCCAACAGAGACCAGAAATCAAATCTCCCAACTTCTCCAAGGTGAAGGTCATGGACATCTTTCACCGGCTGGTACGTACCCTGGGCCCGGATGAGGTCTGGCTTGTCCATGCCCGGAGGGCCACGGGGCGGAAGAGCTGAGGAGACCCCTCGGGTCCTGCCTCTCCCCCGGCTGCTGCAGCTCCCCATTTGCTGGGATGGGCTCACCCGCAAGGGGGGGGAAGGGGCCTGGAAGGCGCTCCTTCCCCAGGGCCCCCAAGAGAATTGGGGGTGTCAGAGCAGAAAAGAACGACGCGCCTGGCCTGTGAGCCGGACTTGGGACGGGTCCCGCGGGGTCCGTGCTGAGCCCCGTTCCTGGCGTGGGAGGGTCGCCTCAGCGGCCGCCATGTTTCATGAACGCCTTCCTTGGCCGGGGGGGCAGTGGGGGCACAGCAGCAATCTGTGTTGCCCGACCCGGCACCCAGCAGAGGTGTCGGGCGGCAGTTCCTATTACCCTCAGTAAAGGCGGACGGATGGCACCGGATGATGGGAGTTGGAGTCCACAACCCTGGAGGGCTGTCAGTGTGGGGAGCCTGTGATGGATAACCGGTGTAGCAGCATAAAGGATCACAGCATCCCCCCCCAAAAAAAATGACTGGGGATAATGGGAGTTGCAGTACCAGCTCATCTTCAGGGGTCCTCGCTAAGCATGCCTGTACTTGGCAAACCAGTGTTTCGGCCTCGCTCGCTGCCGGGCCCCTTCGGACGCTTATTTTAATCTGCATGGCAGGAACGCGCCTGCCTTCGGCCTCGCTCACCCCTCTCTCGATGAGGGTGGGGGGGCTGCCTTCACGTGTCCCCCCTGCAGTCTCGCCTGTCCGCCTCTCCCGTTCCCCTTCCCTGGCTGCCTCCAAGCCCCCTTGGTCCTGCTCGCGAAGCACCCCCAGGCCGAAGGGGGGCTGGAGGCCGGGATTTCTTAAACGAGCCGCACACTAAGCCCTCCAGAGCTGCTGGCCCGTCGTGCCCGCGAGGCTTGGACAAGGCCGGGCCCGAGCACATGGCGGCCACTGTGGGCGTGCAGGGAGGATGCGCAGCCGGGGACGGGGGTGGCGGGCCAAGCCAGAGCCAGCTGCCTGCGAGGCCCACGCGGCCCGGTTCACACAGCCCGGAGACCTCGTGGGCGAGCTCCGGCCCCAAGGCCTTGGAGGAAGCAGGGCTGGCTCACAGCCCCCTCCTCTTTGCCCCCCATCTGGCTCACCCCCCACCCCCGTGGCCCGGGCAAGTCGGAGGCGCAGGGGACGGGCTGTGCCGCTCGTTCCCGCGAGCACGCCAGTCGCAGCCACGGTGGGGAAGAGGATAAGGCTGGAGGGATAGATTCACTGGGGGGGGGGGGGTGTCCCGCTCAGGCCCTTCTCCAGACGTGGGGCTGGCAGGGCAAGGCGTGGAGGCTTCCGTACGTGGCCAGGACTGGTCCCCCGCGAAGACCCGAGCTCCCCTGGACTGGACGGTCCCACGCACCGTGCGGACGGCCCGGGCACAGGGCAGTCCCAGCCCCTCCGGTGAGGCACCCTCTGCTCCCCAGGGCCCGCTCTCGGTCTTCTCTGCCAAGAACAAGTGGCACCCCCCGCGGACGGTCCAGCTGGTCCGAGGAGAGAGCGGCTTCGGGTTTACCCTCCGAGGGGATTCGCCCGTCCTCATTGCGGGAGTCGTCGCCGGAGGCTGCGCCGCGGTGAGTGCCCGCTCGTGTCCGTCTGTGCTGCCTGCGTGGAGGGCCAGCGCGAAGGGGCCCACACAGAGCAGGCCTCGCCCAGGGGTGGCACAGGGACACTCGAGGAAAAGGGGGTCTCTGCAGCTTCCTCTTCTCCACCCTGGGCCTCGCTCCATGGCCCGCACAGCCGTTCTTGCTCGGGTGGGCAGCTGGATTTTTGCCCACCTTAACTTGGGTATGCAGCAACGTAATTATGAAGTGGGGGGCTCTGTCTTTCCCTCAGACAAGTGTGGGGAACCGCGGGCCGCAGAAAGCCGGCGAGGTCTCTCCTCAGCCTGCCGGCTTCTTCCCCACAGCACAGCTCCTGTGAGCGAGTGAGTGAATGAAGGTGGGGGGGCAGAGGGAGTAGAGTTTTTCTGGGGGGCCATGGGCCCTTGAGTCACGGAGGGCTCCCGCCTGCCAGAGGAGAGCGGCACGCAGAACCCGGAGCAAGCAAAGAGCAACGGAGGCCGGCCCTGAGGGCAGATTCAGGGCCGGCAGCTCAAATGGCCTGACATCCACGGCTGGAGGATCTGTTGCCTGCTGCTGGGGGTGGGACCCACAGGCGGCCGATGACGGACCCCCAAGTGAGCCGTGCCGGGCGTAAGCACGTCGGTTCTACCCTGACTCACCTTTCGGCAGCTTCCTCCGTCCCGCATGTCCTCCTCGCCTCCGTGCTGCTTGCTCGCTGCAGCCTCGGCCCTCCTGGTGGTCGGCCGGGCGGCTCGGCTCCAACTCGTCTCCGCTCGTGCATTCCAGGAGGCCGGCCTGAAGGAGGGCGACTACATCGTCTCCGTCGGAGGCAAGGACTGCCGGTGGTCCAAACACGCCCAGGTGGTGCAGCTGCTGAAGGTGTCCGGGGACGAGGGAGCCGAGGTCGGCGTCGTCACCCTGCAGTTCTCCGAAGGGTCGAGCACGGTGAGGGGGCCGCGCACAGAGGGCCCTCGGTGGCCAGGGGGAGACATTCGGCCTTGCAGGGGGCTTTGCGTCAAGCAGAGGCAGTGGGAAGAAAGTCCCTCTCCAGGAGCTTTGGCCTTCAGCCACCATCGGCCCAAGGCGGCAAGGCCAGTGGTCAAGGATGCTGGGAACTGAAGTCTGAAGCCCCCGGAAGCCTTGCTTCTTCCTGCCCCCGGTTTAGGGCATGAGACCCCTCCGTTTGGCTCTGGGTGGAGGGTGCGCTCTTGGCTGGGACCTTGGAGGCCCCATCCAGAGGGAGGCACCCTGGCCTGAGTCCCCGGCCCTTAGCGGGTGGGATCTGGGGCCAGCCCCAGTCACGGCCACTGGGTCCCGCACAGTGCCTTTGGGCCTGTATCAGTTGTGGCTGAAACACCTCCAGGTTCTGTGCAGAGGGAAGTGGCTGCGGCTTGTGAGCCGTGCTCTGTCCCCCGCTGTTCGGCTCGGGGCTGCATCCATCGCCGTGCGTGGCACAATCCACCGCACCTCCTGGCAAGACCATTTCCCAGGGAAGCGGGGAGGCCACGCCGGACTTCTTGGAAAGGATAGCCTCTTTGCAGAAAGCACTTGCCGATTTACCGGGCTGGCTATTTGTGCCCCGGTTCATGCAGCCAAACCGTGAGGTGCTCTTTGTCAGGGGCTGTTAAAGCTTTTGCAAAAGCGCTCCTGGAGAAACTCCAACTGGAAAAGAGACTGTCTCAAGATACCCAAAAACCTGAATGTATCTTTAAGCCCGTATTTCAGCCCACGAGGACTGACTTCAGGGGATGTGTCCAAAAAGACCTGCAGAAATTTTTGACCAGCCTCTCTTTCTAAAACTCAAAATTGGTAACCGCTGAAAACTTCTTGGAGGTCTCTGCGGGGGCTTTTGAATTCCTCCCTGGAAGGAGGCCCCCCTGAGCAAAACGCGCCAGCTTTTTAAGGGTGAGAAAAAGGGCCAGAGAGCAAACGCGTGGGCGCTGCTCAGTCCGTGGCACGTCGTGGGGTGTGGACTTTCCTCGGGCAGCTTATGAAAAGAGCCCGCCCGGCTTTTCTCACGGCTGAGTGGAAGGGAAAAGACACTTCAGGAGGCCGTGGCCGGTGGTGGTCAGGACGCCGGACTAGAACTCCCGCTCAGCCGTGCAGCTCCCTGGGGGATGCGAGGCCAGTTGCAGACGGGCAGCCTGGCCTCCCTCGCAGGGCTGCTGGGAGGACAGAATGAGGGGGGCTGTGGGGGCCCCGGCCGGCCTTCGCAGGAGTGGCGCTGCTTCCTTTCGCCTCCTCCCTCCTTGCGTTATTTCGGTGGAGGTGACCAGCGCTCGTGGCCGCCTTTCGCAACGTCGTTTGCCACAGCTCTGCCGCTCGTTTCGAGTTCCAGCCTTTCGCATGTTCGGTGCGCCACGCGGGCATCTTTGCCGGGTGTCCCTCCTCGCTCACCGGCCCTTGTCTCTCCCGCAGGGCGACAAGAAGGCCACGGCCACGGCTGTGGGCCCCGGTGGGCTGCTGAAGAGCGGCCGGGAGAACGGCCGCAAGACGCTGCTGCGCAGCAAGGGGGCCGCTGCCACGCTCCTGGCCTGGGGCAGGAAGAGCCAGCGCAGCAAGCGGCCCCCCCGCCCGGCCTTCGCCCCCTGAGCGGAGGCAGCCGCGGCTCCGGGCACCACGCCGGGCTGGCCCAGCAGCCACGAGGACGGGCAGGCCAACCTGGCAGCCCGCGTGAGCCTCTGCGGTCAGGGCAGTCTACCTCTGGGTGCCAGATGCTGGAGACGAGAAGCCGTGCGGGGGGCTTGTGGCTTTCCTGGGGGCATCTGAGCAGCGGCTGCTGGGTGCTGGGGCTGAGCTGAGCTGGGCCGTCGCTCGCACCCAGCAATCCCCCCTGGCATTTCTAAAACCACAAGGAGCCGGCTAAGCAGCCCAGCGGGTGCGGGGAGTCCCGGGCGTCCGCTCGAGCGTGCTTCAAGCGCCCCCGAGCAGGGGCTGCCTTGGGGGACGGGAGCGCTGGCGCCTGCCTTTGCTGCGGCATCGCGGCTTCTCTGGAGCCCCCCGTTTTGAGCCCCCGGCTCGAGAAGGCCGTGTGGATTTTGGCACATGGCTGGAGGGGCAATAAGCAGATCCAGGGCGTGGATCTCTGCGGAAGCTGCTGACGGGTGCAAGCGCCGTTCCAGGCTCTCCGCAGAAGAGGGCTGCCGTGGGTCAGCAGGGAGCCGCTGCCGGGTAGCGCTAGCAGCCTGGCGCTTGGTGGGTTTACTCGGAAGCAAACTCTGGGGAGCGCAGTGGGCTGACTCCCTCGTTGGGGGGCGTGCTGCCACACAGCTAAGTGGCTGAGCTGAGGATCCAGACCAGAGCCAGGACCCCCACCCAAGGCTGCCTTAAGCTTTGCCCTTGCCCCCCCCTCCGCAATTTGGGGCGAGAAATGCCGCACGGCCCTTTCAGGGTTTGCGTAGGGGCTGAGCCAAGAGGAAAGAGGACGCGCATCGGAGTGTCCCGGACACCCGCAAGGCAGCAATCCAGCGCCAGGTGTGACCTCACGACCGGCTGTCGCCCTGCCTGCACAGCTCCAAATCCAGCTGTGGCGCTGGGTGGGGGGAGCAGGCGGGGGGGTGTTTCAGCCCTTACCTATTTTCCAGGAAAGTTTGGAAAGGTGTGAGTAGTGGCTCTTGGGTGGGGGTGGGCAGGGACCGCCATTCCTGGAGTCGCCTCTCCGCCTGAGCCGTGCTGTGCCCCGCTCTTTTCTCCCCGGATACGCAGCGCTTTCCCCGAGACAGCTGCCGATGCGCTGGCCAGGCAGCCTTGTCCATCACCGCGCGAGCGGAGCCTGCGGGTCCTTCGTCTGTGTGGCACTGCTGCAGCGCTCGGGGCAGGACGGGACGGGACGGGAAGAGCCCCGGCCTGTGCCAGGGCTGCCCTGTCCCCTTTTCGAGGGCGCTCAGGCCTTCCCGGCTGAGGGCACCGAGCGCCCAGGCGGCCGGCAGAGGCCGCGCCTGCTCCCAGGACCACGCGAGGGAGCAGCCTCCGCGGAGCAAGAGCAGCCCTGCTCCAGGCCGCTCGGCGTCTCCTTGTGGCTGTGTCCAGGCACAAAGCTTTGAGGAAGCCCCCTGCATCCTGCTTTTCTTCTGTGGCACACAGGGCTCCAGACCACCACGGGCAGACTCGGGAGCAGGGCCACAGAGCTGCCCGGGGCATCCGCAGAGCGCTTGCTGGCCGCTTGCCAAATCTGGCCAGGCCCCCAGAAGCCCTGGGATGCAAGACGGGCCCCGGCAGCCAGCCCGGTCCAGTGATTTGCCACAAGGCAGCGCCATCCAGATGCGCCTGCAGGCAGCCAGAGTCTCAGGCCAGCCGCAACACGTCCCTAGCCAGGCCAGCGGTGGCAGGCTGCTCGAGTCAGCCAGCCAAGCTGTACGCCTCAGCAGAAGGCTGTTTGGATGCTCACAAGGCAATTCCAACATCTCATTAGGCTGCCCCAGGGCTTGCTCCCAGATTAGTGTGTGGGGGGTTCCATCGTCCACCAGACAGGCTCTGAATGGACACTGGCCATCACCCAAGTGCTGACGGCAGACCAGAGCCTGGGTCGGTGCAGGACTCGCACTGTCCTGCTGGTCACATCACTGGCCTTTTGCGAGAGCAGGTGTAATCCAGTCTGCGGCTGCATGTCCTTTCAGCCCCTGTAGCCATGGAATCTTGTTCATTTGTTTGTTTGTTTTAAAAAGAGCCTTAGCTGTTAAAATGTGAAAGTTAATTTACAGCGTAAACTTGGATGTTATATGCCGCCATCTGTGACTTTCAGTGACCTGAACGAGCGCTCACCCAAAGGCCGTCCGCAGCAGCCCTGCTCCGCTCGTCAACATAGTTTAATGCAACTTAATTAAAAAAAACATTTGTTTTCAGCTGAGCAAGTGCCACATGGGCAGTACTCGCCCCCCTGTGTTTGTGCAGCGTGGGAGAGTGTCAAACCGTTGTGTGTTTTTTCCGCGCCTCTTCAGAAAGAGTTGTCTGAGAGCGTTTCCCCGCATGGCTCTGCTGCTTGCCAGCTTCGCCCCTGTGGCCTGGCCCAGTGTGGGACAGGCTGTCCTCAGCCCCCTCCAGAGGCGGCTCCAGGAGCTCACCGGGAAGATGGCGGCCCTTCGACTCCAGTGGCCCACTCCGCAGCTGCTCCCAGTGGATTTCGGGGCAGCAGACAATTCCCAGCTCAACCTCAGGTTCTCCTGGTGAAGCTGGAAAAATTTCTGCCCGAAACCCTCGAAAGCTGGTGTTGCCCTCTGGACTGAGAACACGGGGCTGGCTGGAGCCGAGGCTGCTCCTGCTGGTCCCCAGAGTGGGGCTTTCACCGTTTTCCGTTTAATGTCCTCGTTTTGTCATTGCTGGGGCTGCTGACCCCGCACCACGGATTTAATTGAGGGGGCCTGCATGGGGCTGTGTGATGATTTGCACACAGCCTCGCTTGGCTTCTGGCAACCCACGTGCTTTATGTGGGTTCCCCAGATGGAAAGTGTTTCTTCCCCCAGGTTGAAATGAGGAAGGGATTCTTCAAAGGACCTTCTTGGAAACCCGAGATGTGCAAAAGAGTGTTTTTCTTCTCTTTTTAATCTATTTAATGTGGACTGTTGATTTGGACCTGCACTCAACTGTAGAAGCTGCTTTTAATGCCTGATAGAGCAATAAAGAGTGTCTCTGAGCACGTGTCGTGTGTTCCATCCTTCCTCCTAGGCCAGGCAGCCAGGGCCAGCCTGGCATCGGTCACGACGGGGGCCCTGGTGCCATTCAGCATTTGCAGGGCGAGAGAACAGCACCTTCCCACCAAAAGGCAGCTGGTGAAGGACCCGAAAGGAAGGACGGGGGCTCTGGATCACTCGTCTAGGGCCCCGGTGCAGCTGCTGTGGAATTGCCCCAGGTTCAGTGGGTTTGTGCATTAAAGTGTTCGGAAGAGGAAAAACTGAGCTGGGGGCATTTCTGGAAGGAAAGGGGGCCATATTTGGGTTGCCAATTTGGCCATGGGCGGCCAGGGGAGAGATTCTCCCACCACCCCAGGAAAAGAGACTCCGGGGCTCGGCCTGGTGCTTGGGAAGCCATGCTACAAAGGCGCATGGAGTGGAAGGGAGAGCGCCGCCTGGCTGGAAGGCGGCCAGTGCTGGGCTAAAATTCCCATCAACCCCAGCCCGCACTTCGAGGGCACCAGTGTGGGTGAGAAGGGGCAGGGGTCTGTCTGATCCCGCACAAAGCCCGTATACTGCGCTGGACATCACAAGGTCAGGAATCGAGAGGAGTCCCCACTAGGCTGTCCATATTCATCCTTTATTCACACAACATGGAGTTGCATCTACATTTCCATGCTTCATAATTACAAGAGTTAGTCAGACAACGTTACACAGTAGGTTGCCCCTCTGAACGGCCTCGGAGGCCCACAGCATCCTGGAAACGGCGCATCTCCAGCCAGCCGTGGCCATGTGTGACCACGTACTTGTCCATGCTTGCTCGCTTGCCCAGAGCCTGCGGTGATTGTCCGAGGAAAGCATCCAGGAGTTGGGTGGGGGGGCTGATTTCTCAAGGCTTTGGGGGAATGGAAGGGAAACCCAAAAAAGAATCGCGCACCCATCCCAGTTGTTGTAAGGCCAACTGGTCCATCAATCTTTGTCCAGTAATTTAATGTCATGTCTTTGTTTCTGTGGGTGTGTGTGTGCGTTCACATACACCCCATAGCTCGAAAAACTTCAATGACTTGGATCCATGCTTGGTCATACTTAGAGCAGAGCCAGTGAAACTGCTTGGAAGGAGCAGCTCAGCTCGCAGCTTTCACTGGATCCACTCTCAGATGACCCGGGATCAAACCGTTCGGACCTTGATGCTGGCCACTCATGCTGATCCTGCGGAGCTAGCTTTCAGTTCTGTTCCTGCGCTTAGTTTTCGAAGCAGTGGGCGTTTCCCTAGACTGGGGAAAAGCTGGAGAGTGGAACAAGACTTCCTTCCGGCAAACAGCCCGTCGCTCACCCTGACCGGTGTCCACTGGGAGGGCCGAACCAGTGCTCCTCCTCAATGCAAACTGGTTCCGCGTCATCCTGGACCATCGGTGCTTCCATGCTCGGACCCACCTCGTGACTCTCGTGCCACAGAGTCTGGCAAGTCTCTGTGCAATTGTAACACTGCCCTCCTCGCCACGCTGATGCAACCGTGGGCAGGGAGGGAGGGGCGGGCGGAGGCATGCATGATGCCTGGGGGACGCATGTGCCTGCCCGTCTTGAGACACTGCTGGCTTCCGCAAGGCTCCCCCACACCTAAATGGCTGTGTGAGCAAGCCGTAAAACCCTTGACCGTTATCCCAGGAGGTGAGGAGTTGCAGCTCGAGGGCACGCTGGGCCATCTTGCCAGGAAAACCAGGTATGTCCCAGCGCCGATTCTGCACGAGCCTCAAGGGCAAGGATTAGCTCCCTCGGACGAAGTCCTCTGCTGCACCGTGATTAGGTGTGCTTGTCCTTCCTAAATTATTCCTACACAATCCACATTGCAGCATCCTGCCAACAGCATCGGCTACCGAAACATGTGCACAAGTTACCCTTTAGCAACCTAACCTGCCCTACCTGGAACTGCGCTGTTGTGGGCACGTTGCGAGAGGAGCCGGCTGGAGCCAGGGGTCAGACTAGATGACCTGGGAGACCCCTTCTGATTTGTGCTGTTTTTATGTGTCTATGCGCTGGTCCACTGCCCACAGTCACAAATTGTTCTTTTGTGGGAAACCATCCCGGCTTACTTTCAGAGCTGCGATTAAAGAACCAGCCCATGATGGCCAACCAGTGGCCGTGTCCTCGGAGGGCTTAGTTGTGACGGCAAGGGTGTGCTAATTGAGTGCCAGTCCTACACTTCAAGGCCTGGTCCTTTTTCTGAGGCAAAGCAGAGGAGAAGAGCCCTTCAGCCCAAATTACTTTCCAGTTCGGATTCCGAGGCATGCTTCAGGCTTGCTGGTTGTATCTTCTCCAGCAATGCTGGGACCTTCGCTGTCTTTTATGATCTTATGGGGCAGTTGGTGGTCAAGCCCCTGAAGCAGGGGAATTTGTTTTCTTGCTATTCGGCAGCGAGGCTGGGTTACTGCTGGTGGATTACTGAGGGCAGGGAAGGAGGCAGCTGCGCCAGGCACAGCACCCCTACTGAGAAACTGACCCAGTTAGTGGGATACGGGCAAGTGATTAAGAAAGGAGAGAAAGGAAAACTTCCAGATGTGGATGCGCAGCTCTGTACGGATGGGCCAAGCTGAGATTCATCAGTGCAAACAGTGCAAAGTTTTCAATCATTACATACAGCTTAAGAGAATGTAGAGTTGTAACATACGCACCTTTGCATGAGGAACTGAGTGGGCTGCTTCGTTTCAATTAGCTTACCATGGCCTTGTTAGCCTATATTTATGATTTTGAATGTGACAATTTCCTACAAAGAGAACGGACCACTCCCCGCAAATTCTCACCTACCCACTGCGGGATCAGTGGGGAAGAATCAGCTGGCCTCTTTTAAGGATGAAGAACAGCAATGCGTGTGTGTGTGCGCGCGCTCGCACGTTTGTAGAGAACGCAATGAAAAGAAGTTTCCTACAAGACCTAAAATCTGCCCACCGGAATGTGTAAAGGGGGTGTTGGAGTCACACGGCTGCGTTCGGAAGGACCTACATGGGCCGAAGGTTTTGTTTCCTCCTCCTTTACATAGTGTGTGTGCACCTTTTGAGTCTCAAACACGAGATGGTGAAGATACTGGGATTCAGCCAGTGGAGTGGAGCATGGGTGAAGAACTTCTCCCAGGCCAGGGGCCGAAGGCAATTCTGGGGAATCGCTTGGGGTCCGCACTCTGGCAGTGGGAGGTGCCAAAGGGAGGAAGGGCGGAGCCTAAAATGCACAAGCCGGAAAGGAAAGCCCTCTTGCCGGCCCTGTTAAAGGGGCAAAGACCAAGAAGCTTCTAAGCAACTGGGGGCAACAGAGTCACCAGAGGAAAGGGAATGGCCGCTGAGGAACCCCGCAAGGGCCAGGCCTCAGTCCCGGACCCCACTGTGGGCCACATGCAAGATCCATGGCCCTCAAAGAGACCTGTGGCAAACAGTGGCCTCAAAGGTATGCCTGAAATCAGGAGATAGAAGGTTGGGCCCAGGCTTAGTCATACTTGTCATAAACCCATTGGAATAAATGGGGCCTGGTTAACAGAAGCCCCATTCATTTCAATGGGCCTACTGAGAGTTGTCGCTCAGTGTTCCTGACGGGCTTTGGTTCAGAGGACCATGAATTGTGGGCGATAAATGCACCCCGGGACATGCCCTTTGGGGTCCCACAGCCCGGCATTACGCCAGCCCTTCACTCTGATGGGGCCTCGTGGCGGTCCCGGTGGATCCTGGCCCCCGAGAACTGCTCTTCCATTTGATTCCACGGGTCGCTTTGAGAAACGCTTGGCCCACACCAAGGCAGGCCTGTGGCTCCGAGAGGAGGCCCATGTGGCCTCCTGGGCAGGGACCCCATAGACAAGTGTTTTCTCCACCGAACTGCCCCAGCTTGGCCCCCACCGGCTGCAGTAGCCAGCACGACCAGATGCGGAGCTGGGGAAGGCCGCCTCTGTCGCTCTTCCTACTGTTTCTAAACCTGCCCTCTTTTTGATCCCGTCCGTGCTTTTTGGCTTCTCTGACGAAGGTGATGCATGGCTCCCCCCGGCCCCTTCCGTGACGCCTCCCTCTGGGCGTGTTTGGCCCCAGCCTGTTCCTCTGGCATCCTTGGGGGGCGGGTGGGAGGTGAGCCCACAGAATCCCCCCCCCCCGAATGCTTCCGCCCAGCACTGCAACAAGCTTGGCCTGTTGAGCAGGATCAAACTTGGGCCAAATCGCTGGACTCTCTCGGAGGTCTCACGCCAGCCCCATCCGTTCCTCCTCCACTGAACGAATCTGAAGCAATGAGTTTCTTTCGTATCATGGACCAAAGCTGCTTATTGGCAGTAGTCTCGCTGGTGTGGGCAACCGGGCCCTGTGAACAGCTGCCTACGGGATGCGAACAGCACAGCGCTGGCTGAATTGCCCTGTCCGCTCCCAAGGGGAAGCAAGCCGAAGAGCCTGTTCCACACCAAAGCTGTGTGCCCACGCTCCACAGGCCGCGCACGACGGCTCTGTCAGCGCGAGATCGGTATTAACTGGGCCACTGAGGTGGCAAGGCACTTGATGCGGCCAGGCCTTGCTCTGGGGGCACCCACACCCGGGCAACACGCTTCTCCTTTTGCCTCTCAGGGACTAGAGGTGGGTCCTGAGCGCCCGGGCACTGCTACCACTGACACGTGCGCCCAGGGGTGGGCACTACAGTTCTGGCCCCTGCCCGCTGGCTAGTTAGAGCTCTCCCTTTCCTGGACCAGGCGTTATTTCCTGCGACTGCAGACGCGGCCGGGCGGAAACGGGAGAAATTGCGAGATGCTTGCAAAGCCAGTCGCGGCTCCGGACGGATGAGAGGGCCCTTTCCCCATGCAAAGCCGTCGCACAGGTTCTCACCGCCGTGCAGGGACCCCGTACACACACACCTCAGCATGGGGCAGGGACCGCAAGTCGGTGGCGCTTTGGTACGCGAGCAAGACACAGTGACAGCCGCAAACCTCGCCGGTTCTCGCCTGGACGGATTGCCAAGGCAAGAAATCAGAAAGTGAACAGAACCGCCACACTCGCTTCTTAAAACTTAA